ATACAGTTCTGGAGTTTTCTTTCTTGAGTGTCTTTGATTGCTTTGTCATGACTGCCTCAGTGTGCTGAATCAATTTAAAACATTTATCTTTCCTGGTCATTTTGACTGTGGGGAAGAGCAAGGTAGTTCATGGTGCTAGATCCTGTGAATAAGGTGGACAAAACACATCACCACGCTTTTAAAATTCTGCCTTTCTGTTCAGTGGCATGTGGCAGCAGCAGCAGCAGCAACAGGAACAATAGCAGCAGCATGTATTGCATTTCTAATCACACTGCTTAAAGACACGAAGAAGGACTTCCAGAACTGCTTCAGAAAGTAGTACTAATAATGACAGAAGTGATTTCAAAGCAAGGGAGAGTGTTGAGAGGGGTTTAATGGCAATGTGTCTTTTACTGTCATCAATTTTTTTGAAATTTAAAATTTTAAAACCATACATTTTGATCATACCTTTATTAAAAATTCCATAATTTACTACTTAAATATTTTACATTATATAATTTATAAACATAAAAAGTAACAAGAGAAGTCAAATTAAAATTTTTGTCTGTGCTATCCTATTTTGAGTATTTCCATTATGAAAACGTCCTTCCATATAATTCTTATACTTATCTGTTTATCTTGTTGTTAATTATGGTATACATTTTACATTCTTTTGCTTTGTAAATTATCTTTGCAAACTCTTGCCTATGAATATCATAAGAACTTTCCAATCTCTATGTTCAAAATTATAATTTTTAGAAATACAAGCGGTTTTATAAGTACAAACAGTAGCAAGTTGTTCATTCTTTAATTGCATTCATTTACCTGTGTGTAATTCCTTAATAAATAACATTAAAGGTAGTTTTTTTCCAGCAATGTGTCTTCCAGACACTACATGTTGGAATTTTATAAATTAGAGCTGTGAGAAGTTTTGCTTCTGTGTTGACAGAGATGAGGAATGGACTGACATGCATTGGGGCCACTTAGATTTATCTCAGAATCCTAGCCGATTTTAGAAAAATGTCTAAAACCCAAAAGCAAATGAAAATCATTCTGTTACCAAATGCAAAATACGAAGATTTTTTTCTCTTCTTTTTATTAAAAACATGGAAGAAAATAGGGGAAATATTAAGGTATTATTACTAGGGACATGTACATAGAAAAGACATGTTAAAAGCATTGATAGTGCTTTAAAATATATTTTTACAACTTTAAATTACACCTAAATTGTCACATTTTTATGTTGGCCTACTAGAATTCTAAAATGTTTCTCCTTAAAATAACAATTGTTTCTGTACCATAGAAAAAAATTATTTTTGCAAATCTTGTGATGGTTGTATTGTTGACTCTATTGTATGGCTTCCCTTTGCCAACAATAGGCTTCTTCTTTCTCGCAAGTAAAAATAGGCATGGAATTATTGGAAGAAATGCGTGTGCTGATTTACCTCTCTTGGGTTGCTTCTCCAAAAGGACGTGGATGGGGAAGTGGGAGTGGTATTCCTGGAGGGAGTCCTTGTGTAGTTATCACGGGAATGTCTCTAATAAAAGACAAGCAGGGTCTAATGAAGAGCAGGATACAGTAAAGTACTTAAACCAAGCCCTGTATGCTTTTCCTGTGTTTCAATTATTTTGAGTGGCTTACTGGATTCTGAATTGCCAGCAGCTGCTTGCTTGCTCACTTTTTTGTCTGTCAGCTGCCAGCAGCTGTTCCTTCTTACCCCATATCCAGATGCAAACAGCTGTTCTCCCCTTCTTCACAATTGTCAGCAGTGGCTCATTTTTGCCCCAACCACATGGACACTTGCAGCGATATGAATTTTATTTTTCACTTGTGAGGAAATAATAGAAAGCTTCAGGGAGATTGAATGTTGTAAGGAGAAGAGGGAATGAGAGGTAAATAGATGCAGGAGAAACCCGTGTTGGCAAGTTGGATGGTGGATGAGATTCTTCTAATTGTTTTTCAAGGGCTGTGTAAGTCTGTAAAAACAGATACCTCTACTTCCGTAGTGTGACATTCACCTTGGAAAGTATGGAGTCATCACTAACAAATGCCAGCAAGCTGAGCACTTAAGAAGGATTTATGATGGTATTCTAAGGAGTTGGTTTTAATTCATGCATTTAAGAAATATTTATGGATACTCTATGCCATGCACTGTTCTGAACATGCAACAGGTGCTAAATAAATGAATATGCATTTATGGATGTATTCATACATATGCACATATATTCTTATTCATCCTGTGTCTGCTAATGCTATAAAGAGATGATATCTTAAATGAATTGTTTCTATTGAATTCAGCCTTTCTCTCCTGTGGAACAGGGAAATTTTGGGTTATTGCCTTAGCTAAGAAATATTCCTGGTTCTCATCTTTCTTTCTTTTTTCATGTACCCTTGGGAGGAAGGTGAAACTGGGGAGGAAGGGAACTCAACATTTATCTAGCACTTACTGTGTCTCTGGTATTGTGCGTTGTTCTTCATGGGTGATTGGGTTTCATTTTCATTAGCAGCTTAGGAAATGGGCATTATTATTCCCATCCAGCTGATGGGAAAACTGAAATTGGAAGTGTAAAGCTGCTTACCTTTAGTCACACAACCAGGATTCCTGGCTCATCACTGTGGTATATAGAATCCCGACTCTTTAGCATCCAAAAAGCACAGTGCAAAGGAAGAAAAGAGAAACCAGCTCAGTGTTACTTATTGTTGAATCATAAAAATTATATTTCTCCAAAGATGAGAATAGAACTAAGAAATGGAGCAAATTATATGGTAAAGTACCTGCATCCATAAAAATAATGTTTGAAGATCATGACAGAGAAATTGACAGAACTAAATGCAACCCACACTCCAAAGTATAAGCTCTTTTCACTACAACCTGCCTTCTTATGTGCTTCATTTTATAACTCTTCAGGTAGCAGAAAATAGTATAGTGATTACGGGCTTAATACTGAGATTGTGGAAGCAGATATATCACGAGTCCAAAGCCTTCCTCTTCAATCAGAAATGTGTTCAAACTTCACATCATCATTTTAAGGTGCAGGGCACCATCATAAGACCTGAAATGAAACATAAGATGCTGAGGTCTCATTGCTGAAGTTCTTACCACTAATAAAAACATCTGCTTTCCTCCCTCTGCCCTCAGCCTCTTCTGTGTTAATGGAAGGTTTTGAAAGGGTACTGACCAAAGTATGGGAGGACTTGATACCCTCATTTCACACCCTAACTCCATCCATTAGTATTAAGAATTGTTAGTGGTTATCCTTTATAATATTGAGTGGGAAAGAACTGGCTGAGGCTCTAAGAAAACTTCCTATGGGTTAGGGAGCCATTAAGGAAAAGCTCCTTATCCTTGTAAAAATTTCCCAAACTTTTAGGGCCTGGTTTCTGTGGCTGGCCAGGAGTCAGCCTCAGTTAGGAGCCTGCCAAATTGAGCATCAACAGCTCATTTGGCTTGGAAAAAAAGAAATGAGAAACAACTGACATTTGTATACTTGAAATTATGAGCTGTTTCTCTAACAAAGAGACCAAACACTTTTGGGTTGTTTTACAGTAAACATACACATTGAATAATCTGGTTGGCCAGCAGCTGGCTGTGCATATGTAGGGCATATGTGAACACATATGGATGCATAAAACTCACATATGTTCACTTAAAAGGACACTGTCAAGTCGTTTTATGGCTTTTTTTGTTCTCCAGGCTCTATTATTTATAAAATCTTCTTAGAAGCTTAAAAATACAATTCCTTTCCCTACTGATTTTTGGGTTTTTTTCAAGCAAGTATTTTGAATGACACTCAAATAAATGGGGCTTGTTCTATTTAAAAGCTAATTCTACTTAAATGTATACAGCAAAGCACATCGTCCAATCGAAAATAAACCACTAAGAGAGAGACAATTCATATGAAGAGAAAATTAAATACATTCTGTGTTCAGAGTGGACATTTCAGAATTGAAGAGTACTTGAAAAATTGTTTTCTGGTGTTTCTGTACTTTTAGTTTATATCAGATATTACATATAGAAATTTGGAACTAGGATAAACCCTATTTTCTTCTTTCTAAAATTTTTTTAGTAATGTTTTTCTAGTGTCTTCACTAAGTAAGAGATCCTTTAAAAGGTCTTGATTTGAGGAAAAGCTGTGAAGAAACAAATTAGAATGACCAAAGTATCTCAAAAGGTAGTCACAAATCACAATGAATCAGCAAACCAAAAACTAAAATAGTGATTTATGAATGATAACTTTGCACTCACCGAACTTGCAAAAAGCAAAAACCAAAACAACATATCACTAATAAAGATGCAAAGAAAGGGCCCTTTCAATAGATTCCTGTTGGAAATGGGTTTTTAGCTTTTTAGAAGTAAATTGGGCAACTTTCTTAAAAAAAAAAAAAGGTTGCTTATACTTACTCTTCATATTACCATTCTTCTCCTAGAAATCTAACTCATAAAAATAATATAGAAATAGAATATATCCACAATATTTCCATAAAGTATTATTGTGTCAAAAAGGAAAAAGGGAAAAGAAATCATGTAAATGTCCTTCAATATTGTTATTGTTGAATATGTTAAGATATTCTGCATGATAGAATATTATATATCCTTTGAAAAGAGTGGAGCACCAGCAGTTGACTTAGAACAATTTCCATCTAGTATTGCTGAGGAAGAAAAACAAGATGAATGGAAGAATGTATAGTATGAGCCTCTTTTATAAATCAATGACCAAGGAAATGTTGAAAGTTTGATATGTATGCATCTGACTATTTATCATACCATTTCATATCTTATCAATCATCCATCTACCGACTATAGTAACAACCTTCATACTAGGTTGTTAAAATTGGTTTTCTGAGAGGAGTGGGATAGTTATGGTGGTATTGGGTGAGGAAGCTACACAAAAAAGGGAGTCTTAGATAAGAAAATTCCTACATGAAAGACATGGTCACGCTTATGAAAAATCTATATGTGTATACATTAAAGGAATTTTTGAAATAATAATTTATTACATTAAACATTCTCCTCTTCTAGTTTTCAGGTCTGTTTCAATAGACAAAGGAGGATGCGAAGGTTGCCTGCAATCATTTCAGGGTACTGGTGCCACCAAGTGGTGTCTAGAGCAATTGTCGATGGCATAAATTACCCCAGGAGCGACAGAGCGTCTTGGTTTACCAATGCCTTCCTTGCATGACAATGAGCAGAATGTGGGAAGCTCCAGTTATTTCTGGACTGAAGTGCATGTCTGTGATCCTGGCACTCACATAAACAGAAAGTATAAGAAATGGATAGAGAACAAACAGCTCTTGCCCTAGAATTTGTGCTCTCTTTGGTTTGTCTTGCTGGCAGGTGTTCTGCTATGCTTAACATTCACCCATCAAGTCTTGAAATGTGTACAATTATGTGTAGTTACTTGGACTAGCTTTATAACTGGTATGACTTTAATGGCTTGATCTCTTATATTGGTTTTATCTTTTTATTGTTATTATCCTTGTCTTGTCCATCATTATTCCTCTCCTAGTGCCTTATAAACACCCTCACTTTCCTAGGCTCAGTCTCGCCTTCCTCCCATCCAGCCATAACCCACTTCTATACTAAGCTTCTTGAATTTCTGATCATTTAATAACATGATTCAAAAACCTTAAATTGTTTCTTCCTCCCCACTGGCAAGTCTTGCCTCAGCAAAGCTTTCCTGAGTAACCACAATGACTCTATTTGCCCTAAATGGTCCCTCTTTACTTTTGCTACCCAAATGTAATTACTATGACTTTACTCAATCTTGAAAAAGTGCCCTGGTTTGGATGATGCACTATATAGATACTCCAGCTCTTACCCATTTGGTTTGCCTTGTCTTATGTACAATAAATAATCTAAGAGAAGAATGTACAAACTTTGTGGAAATATTGGATTGAGGTAGGGAGGGCTCATATCTAAAGGAGAACATGTGTATCTGAAATTATTTGAAATATATCAACCCATTTAAAATTTTTTCATTACTTAATTGAGTGAAGGTTTTACAATTGTATCAGGAAATTTTCTTTTGTAGCTTTCACATAGTTTTCTATTAATTTTTCACTGAAAAAACTCTTGTGATATTTGCATATATCATTCTCATAATTCATTGTCAAACGTGAAGAATACTCAACTAAATAAAAACACAAAAACTGTAAAAACTTGGAGGAGGTACAAATACTGTGAGCTCTTTCAGTACAGTCGTATCTTATTTATTTGCCCATGAATGTTTTTAAGAATTTAGAGGAGTTTCTCCCAGTGTGTCGAACTAAAATTTGAGTAATGGATTCTGTTTTAAGTATTTTCTATTTTTCCTTGTCATACTTTGTGTTAACCTTTGTGCTGGTGGTTGAATATGTACTATGTAAAGCAATGCTTTATTCTTAGCTTACCATTAAAAGAAATGCACAAAGTTTTTCTTATAATAGGAAAGAAATTGAGCTCAACCACATATTTTTTTCTTGGTCCTTAAATATATTTTTAAGACAACCATCTCTTGGAAAGGACATTGACTGTACAGGCTTGACGCTGTGACCTCGTTAACACCAGGTGCTCAGCAAATGAGTGTTCATTTAATATACTTGCATTCTTCAGATCATCCTGTGCAGCTCTTTTTCCTGCTTTAATGGTATAATCTTGAGCCAATCTAGAATACAGGAAGTTGGAATTCAATTTAAGTTACTTTTTAACTAGTTGAGAGTCATTCATTCATCATCATCGACTTATTTCCTATATGTCCTGCCAGGTGCTGAGTTTACACTGAAGAGCCATCAGTACTTCCTGAAGGGAGATTTTCTAGCAGAGGCACACATATCCATGCATTCACACTCTTACACAGGCTAACCAGCTTGTCTGTTAATGGACAATGAGTAAACACCCCTCTTTACCTTCCTTTCTAACGTGATTTATTTTATGAAATTTTTTATGATCATACCAAGATCATCAGAGTAGAATCAGGCTTCAGACATAACCACATATGGACAGATATTCAGAACTTCATTATACATCTGCTTTCTTTTACTTTTTTATTTATTTATTTTTAAAGAGAGTAGTAAATGAGAAACAAACAATGAAACAGAACAGTAGTAGCATACCAGTATCGCAAACATAAACAAATTAAAGTAAAAACATTCAAAGTGATACAGAGTCTCAAGACAAAATGATAGGAATCAACAGTGATTGTTACATTACATATCGCTATCCTCAACTGCATTGCTCAGATTACCAGATGTAAGAATGAAAGATTGCTCAAACCATTATAGGGAATAAGAAAATAACAGTAGAGATAACACAGAGTTTTACTAGACAAATGGTAGGAGTTCACCATCATAATTCCATTGCATACTGTTACCTTCAAACCAGTTGCTCAGACCAACAGACACAAGCATGCGCAATCGATCAGAGCATAAAAATTGTAAGTATTAACTGTTCATTTCAATACACCATCAGACATCAACAATACAGTTATTGCAGCTATTCATATATATATTTATATTTTACCTTCCTTCTTTCTTTTTTCTTCTTTCCCTCATCCCAGTCGTTCCTTCCTTTGAGCAATTTCTTTCCCTTTCCTATCATCTATTGTATGTTTTGAGTTTTACCTGGTCTTTCAGGTTCTTACACCAAGGAGCCAATGTGATGTTTACCCATCTGGGTCTGATTTATTTCACTTATGAGTGTGGTCTCTAGTTGCATCCATTTACCTACAAAAGCCTTGAGTTTATCTTTTTTAATAGCTGAGTAATACTCCCTTGTATAAAAATGCCACATCTTTTTTATCCATTCCTCAGTGGATGGGCATCTGGGTTGTTTCCAAGATTTACCTATAACAAATTGTGCTTCTATAAACATGGGTGCACATATATCACTGTGGTATGATGACTTTAATTCTTCAGGGAAAATACCCAGAAGGGGAATAGCTGGGTTAAATGGGACTTCCAATCCTAGTTTTGTGAGGAATCTCCAAATTGATTTCCATAGTGGTTTCACCAATCTACACTCCCACCAGCAGTGGAGTAGGGTTCCTTTCTCCCCACAGCCCCTCCAGCATTAGTTATTGGTTGATTTCTTGATGATAGCCATTCTTTCTGGGATGAGATGGAATCTCAGTGTTGTTTTAATCTGCATTTCTCAAATGACCAATGACATTGAACTTTTTTAATGTATTTATTCGCCATTAGTATCTCTTCATTATAGAAGTGTGTATTCATCTCAGATATCCATTTTTGGATTCAGTCTTTGAATTTGGGAGGGCTGATTTCTTTTAATTCTTTATATGTCCTGGATAGAAGTCCTTTGTGTGAGGGATAGTTGGCTAAAACTTTTTCCCAATTCGTGGGTTTTCATTTTACTTTATTGGTGATTTCTTTAGATGTGCAAAAACTTTTCAGTAAGATGAGATCCCAGTTGTTGATCCCTTGAAGGATTTCCCCAACGGTTTGGTTTTTGTTCATGAACTCTCTGCCTGCCCCAGTGTCATCAAGATTTTTATCTACTTTCTCCTCCAATAGATTTCGTGTTTCTGTTTTAATATTTTGCACTTTGATCCATTTTGACTTTAATTTAGTGCATGGTGAAATACATGGGTCTAGTTTTAGTCTTCAGCATGCAGAAAGCCAGTTTTTCCAGCACCATCTATTAAAGAGGCTATCTTCCTTCCACTGAACATGTTTTGCCCTTCTGTTGAAGATAAGGTGACTGAGTGTGTTTGTAGTTGTATGTGTATTTTCTAATCTGTTCCATTGACCGTCAGGTCTGTTTTTGTGCCGGTACCATGCTGATTTTATCACAGTAGCTTTGTAATATAATTTTAAGTCAGGAATTGTGATGCCTCCTGCCTTTCCTTTGTTTCCCAATTGCTTTCACTATTCCAGGCCTCTTCTGGTTCCAACTGAACTCTAGGAATGTTTTCTCTAGATCTGTGAAGTATACTAATTGTATTTTAATTGGGATTGCATTGAATCTGTACAACAATTTTGGGAGTATGGCCATTTTCACAATGTTGGTTCTTCCTGTCCATGAGCAAGGAATATCTTTCCATTTTCTGATATACTCTTTGATTTCTTTTTTCAGAGTACT